TCAATTACATGATTTCTAGATTGACTTTTAACTCTATAGTTGAATAGTTTAGTTATCAGAAATATGAGGGAATAATATTTTGAGAAGTATGACTGACTGACTGACTGATCGAATGATTGTGAAGTAATAAAGTCCACTTTACTCCTCTCCCACCCTCCATCTTCCCTCACCCCCAACCTAACTCCAAGCCCATACAAATAAAGATATATATATATATATATATATATATATAGGGTAACATACATAAAATCTTCATATATCAGAGATCACACTAGAAGTATTATTATTATTATTAGAATTCGGAAATAAAATTGTCACTCAGTTTGTTTATTACTACTCATTAAGTAGTAGTATATGAGTGGAGAGAGGACAATAAAATTCAGAAAATAATAGCTATAACAATAATAATAATGATATTACTGTTGTTATTATTATTACTACGGCAATTAATTTTCCCCAAATAATAATCATAACACTATTGCTGTTATTCCCAATCCCATTTATTATTGTTATTGGCAGTAAACTTAAACAACCCAAACAAAATGTGTCCGCCAAAATTGTAAATCCTTAACGAATATATATATATATATATATATATATCGCATAATCACGTTAATCGTAATTACTTTTTATTTCAGTAGTAAGTGACAGAACCCAATTAGCTAAATTAAGCGCTAGTTTAATTAATTAATTAATTAATCCGATATAGACCTATTTTTACATTCTGTCCGTGCCTGTGTATGATGGCTGCTTTGTTTGTTTGTTTGCTCCTTTCTGTAGTCTCCTTCAGTCACACTTTTCCACGCCATCGCTACCTCCCACCCAACGAGCCACACACACACACGCATTGCACATTACGAAAACGCCTTCACTGTATACATATATATAAATATTCATCTATTTATATTTACATTTTTGATAAGTCTATTAATTAATTAATTATATATATATACGTGTGCGTGCAAACTAACTATCCAGCTCAGAGAACAAAACCACATCAAAATTATCCACCTGAGCTACAAATCTTCTCTATCATATCTAAATCTTGCGTGCGTGTGTGTTCAGCAATTAACAGTAATTAATTTTAGATGACTGCAACGTACGTGTGTGAATTTATGCCTGCTCGTGCGTGTGTATGTGTGTGTTACCGAAAATGCTATCACTCACGCACGTATGCATGCAAATTCACACATATATACACACATACACATAAACACCTACAGAAGACGATCGCATGCATTCCATCTCTGATGCATAATCACGTACAGATTAAGGAGTATTCATGCTTGTGTGTGTATATATTTGCACGTGTGCGTGCGTACATGTCTGTGTGTGTGTGGGTGTTTTTGAATAACAAATAATTTAAGGGAATAATAATAGAGTGATAAAAAAAATAATTTTCATATAATTAATTAATCAGCTAATTAATTAGTTCATAAACACACATAAAAATATTTATTTTTTTTAAAAAAATTTGATTAAAAACATATTCTCTCACTGTCGAAAAATTGATAATAATAATCGTAATAAATTAATAACTTTCAGAAAAATGCCATTTTTCATTCCTTTTTTCTGTTGTTGTTGTTTTTTTCACCCCTTTTATATTAGAGGCAGGCATCTTATCTAACTAAACTGATGTAGATCTTTTGTTATCATATTTTCCTTTCTGTCTGTCTGTGTGTGTGCGTGCGTGCGCATATGTATGTCGGTGCGCTAACTCGTGTATGTTTGATTGTGTGTGTGTGCGTGGTAAGTATAACAACGTCTGTTTTCCTAGTGGTGTGTCTGTCTATCCTACAACGTGTGTTATTATCATTATTATCACCAGTGTGAAAATTTACTGTGTAGATAGATGGGAAATTCACAAATTATTTAAATACATATATAATTAGAAATGCTTTAACATACATCATCATTAGGATTGTATACTTGTTAATTAAAATAATTTGTTGAAATTCAATATTGGATTTATGTGGAATATTATCACATCTAGTCAGAAGAGAAGTTGAAATGTGTAAGTTGAATTTATTTTTGTTGGTTTTCTTAATATATGAAACATTTACTCGTGCTAGAATGTTATAAATCTACCTATAGATTAAGCATTTCCTATTTCTTTAGATATCGGTTACAAATGTCTAAATGTCATGTAATTTGGTTGGAAGTAGTCGTTAGGGTACAGGTATATCTTTAACCTTATCAGTCTGCCACTTATTATGACAGCCCACGGAAATCACTGGGCTACCTAATTTCCCCATAGAGCACAGTGAATCAAGTTTACTCGGCTATACTTTGTTTTAATAACCTATTTACTTCCTTAAAGAACAATCTATACTCGCATGCATTTTTTAATGGCTTTCAATGCATCATTTGGTCCGTTTCGAAGAGATTGAATCATATTGCGAACTGAGCGAAATTCTATCTAATAATATATTCTGTAGATTACTGTCTTACTTCCATTTTATTATTGTTCCCTTGGGTTCCTAGTGGAACATAGGGCTCCCCATCCTTATTTTTGCTTTCATCGAAAGAAGGCACATCGGCTGACTGGCTTCCCGAAGGCTTTCACCAGCCAGCGTCATTACACTTCCCCGATTTCAGCGAAAAATAGGGTTATTGTTTATATTTTTAGAATTTTTAATATATTTGTGCATTGAAGTTTCTGTAGCGGTTTGGTTGAGTTTTTGGGGTGGAATTGCTACCACCACGCCCCAACCCTCCCTCTTTATCCGGGGTTGGGACCGGCCAGAAAGCTAGAGAGCTAGTAATCTAGACAAGGTTAAAGAAAGGAGTGGGCCGGCCGGGGATTGAACCCCGGACCATGTGCATGGTCGGCGAGCGTCCTAACAGCTATGCTACCGACGCACACGTCTTACTTCTAGATTCTGTATAAGTAGTATATGCAGTCAAGCTAAAAAGTGTGTGCTACATATAAACATGTTCAAAATGAAGCTATTGTAATATTATTAACCTATGAAGTTGTATGAAATTGCAACAGCCGACCACCTTCACATCTTCGGTTAAGCAATAAGTGATCTTATAAATGTATTTCATATCTTATGATCATAGTTACTATAGTGACCCTAAACGCATAAAAAAGAATTACTGGTACACTCTATAATGGAATAATTTGATTTCAATGAAAGCCTACAGTGATGCAATAATATTTATTTACTTACGATGCTTCGAGCACAATTTACTGCAAAATCGTATCAAGGCGTTCATGAAAATTTCGGATATGATATTTATTTTACGTCTTTCCTAATGCAAGTGTTAGGTGTTAGATTCGATTAAGTGATCAACCTCTCTCTCTCTCTCTTTGCACCTAACTATATTACTTTTTAGAAGTTCAACTCTGGCTTAACCAATTTTATGATGTGTAAAAATGCACGTTAAATCTAAAATTTACCCGAACACTTTGATATGATTATAAGCAATTAATTGTGCTCAAAACGTTATTGGTAAACAAGTTATACCGTATTAGTGTGTGTTATTATCAGATAAATAAAATTATTCTATTATCTGCCACAGTACTCAAATTATATTTTTATATCAATTTGAAGTCTACTCACTCAGTACCCATTATTATTCATGCAGTGAAAGTAAGACCGATATAAATTATATAATACTTATAGTTGAATGATACACAAATCTCTTATATGAATCTATCGGCAATAAAATTTTATCGTCAAGGCACCAAAATTTCTGTCTTTTCTTTAAAACTTGTTCAAATCAGAGTCAAAACTTTAGTATCTTCATTGTAACTTTTATTTTCTAATGAAAAAGGTTTTTTTCTAAGTTTTCATTTCAATTTCTTCCATTCTGAGTGGAATGTGAGGCTTTAAACTTTGAAGTATCAGTGGCGTTGGTGTTTTTTTTGCTAGAGGTGGGGTTGGTAGCCTCAAACCCAACCTTTTCCTTATTCTGGGCTTCCTCTAGGTTAGAAAACTAGGCGAAGTTTAAGAGTGAATCGTCCCGAAATCGAATCCTGGACATATGCGTGGTTAGAGAGCACTTTATCCTTGAACCATTGACGCTCAAATAGAATGTATGTATAATTTTATTTTTTATTTAATTTTGATCACAGCTTGATTCCACACTGTATTTTTTTGGTACAAGTATGGAATTTTCAGCATGCAGGCCGACCATAGATATCAGGTGTGAGTCAGCAGGGAATCGAACCTTGGACCATGTGCCTGGTCGGCGAGAGTCCTAACCACTGTAAGGATATATATATATATATATATATATATATATATATATCATTTGTGAAATGAAAACGTTTAGATTTCATTTACATTAATAAGTAACTGAACAGTTTCCTAATTTATTCTTTCATATATTCAATCTCTCTCTCTGTCAAATTATCCACCCCGTTCATCATTGATTGATTAAGCTGTTCACCCCACTCACACGCTCACTTGTCTTTTTAGATTTTCCTAAACACTAAATGTCAGTTTTATTTTGATTTAATTAATTACTGGAAATTGTGTAAAAGATTTTTTCAAAACATCAAATAAAATAAAATGATATGTATAAATTTGTTTAAAATTTTGAATTATCTTTCATAATATCGATTGTTCATTGTTCAATAATGCTTTGTTTTAATTTGTTATTCTTTTCTATTTCTTTCTTTTTCAAATGCCATCCTTTCGGTGTACGCACGTGTCTCCCTGTATATATATATATATATATATGCATATGTATGTGTGTGTATATATCCATTGCGCTTGTTGGCTTATTCAAACATTTTGACTCAACTGATCAATGTGTTCCTTTTGATGCTGCTCATTCAATTTACAACACTTATTAATCATTCATCCTCTCACACCTGGCGGGTTATTTATTCAATTCATTCATCAATTATATTTTGGCCGATCTGTGTCTTTACTCACGCACGCACGCACGTATACACACCTACACCTACAAACATACTCACCTACATATGCATAATGCATACATATATGTATCCAATATATATCCTAATAATTTGCTTTAATTAGTCTCTTCAGAATCCGAATTTATTGATCGAAGCATGTTTTCTTCCCTATTCCCAACAATTTCTCAAACAATGAACAATTCAAATCGTATAATTTCAAATCAATTGAATAATTTATTATTACCTGGTGTAATGAATTCAGAGGATTATTCTACGAGCACCCTTGTGAATAGTAATCATAATAATAATACAAGTAATAATAATCGTACTACCGTTACTGCTACGACTGTCAGTAGTAATAATGTGATCAATAGTGACAGTTATAATCATAATGGTGATAATACATCAGAAGGACATAGCAATTTTATGTCACTATCAACAACAACAACGCCAACAGCAACACCAACAGCAACGACAACAATAACACCAAATCGTGATCAGACCTTGTCAACGATACAGTCAGATCATTGTCTACAGAGTAAGTTAAGCCCATCCTCTGGACAATTGTTAAATGGTATGGATTCATCCGGATCACCACCAACAGCTCATTCACCTATGAATGGTGAAAACAAGTGTAAGAAGGCAAGGCATAGGTGAGTTGATTTATTACGGCATTTCATTCATTTTGGTTCTGTCTATCTCTAATTTGTCAGGAGAATGGTGACAGTGGGTAACTGAGATTCAGTTACGGGATGTTGCTACAGTGAATATATATATATGGATTATAGCTTGATTTCACACCGTAATTTTGGCTCAAGTATGGAATTTTCAGCACTTGATGTCGGTAGCCCAAATTTTGCAGGTCGACCATATATACCAGGTGTGCGTCGGTAGGGGATTGAATCCCGGCCCATGTGCATGGTCGGTGAGAGTCCTAACCACTGTGCTACAAACGAATATATGTATATATTACACTAGACATTTTATTGGTAACTGTTATGATGGAGCGATACAAAGTTGTGTCTAAGTCTAACTAGACTAGACAGCGTTCGCAGAACACGACACTATAACCAAGTGGTCACTTAAAATTATCTTCCGCACTGAGACAGACACAAAAGTCAGACTGGGAAAACACTGACCGGAATGCCAATGCTTATTCAACAAAATACGTTGTATATTGCATTTACAAAACCACAGAAATGTAAGCCATACATAAGACAAATCTGATTGGTTGTAGGATGTAGAATTCTATCAGACGATTAAGCCATTAGTAAGCCGATCAAAACTGTCCAATCTGGTTACTGCGTTGGTACATTAATAAATCACTACTTCACGGATAATAATGAAGCTTGATCGTCTTAACATTAATGTAGGATTTCAGAGAAGCATCTGCATATATTTCATTATTATTATTAATGTTGTTCTTCTTTCTTATTTTCGGAGTGGAATATATGGCCTCAGCAGTACACCCCTACCTCAACCTCTTCTCTGAAGTCTCTCTTAGCTCCACGATTGCCCATTAGCTTTAATCTCCTCTATGTCGTCCTAAAACCCACTCCGAACTTGTCGTTTCTCACTTGGCTTTCACTTCAGGGCCTGAAGCGTGATATCACTCAGTGGTCGGTTCGATAGTTCTTTCTGGTAACGTGATGTTCAGCACGCAGCGAAGATAGCTGTTGATAAAACACTACACCTAGTTGTTTTGGAAATGCTTTTCGTGATGCATTTGGCATATATACAATGGCACATTGACTTGATATTGGTATTGAAAATCTGTATGATGGGTGTAGCAGATTTCTACACGGATTTCAGATCAGTATTATACTACCTATTCAAGTGGACTTAAAGAATATTTAGTTGCTCAATAACAGGAATGAGACTGGAAAGAATCCAGTAGAATTCTGTTCTAATTAGAAGTGATTATTAACCGTCCAATGTGCGTCGGTAGCATAGCGGTTAGAACACTCGCCGACTATGCACATGGTTCGGAGTTCAATCGCCGGCCGACGCAATCCTTAAACTGGCTAAGCCAGTAAATGGATTGGTAAAGAGGGTAGGTAGGGCATGACGCTGCAGCCCCATCCCTTGAAAATAATCACCACTGCCACAGAAACTTCAAGCCACTAGCTTGATGCCCTATGTTCCACTGGGGAACGTGGAAGCAAAAAAAATTAACTGTTCAAAGATTTTTAGTTTATTATTTCGTTTGATTTTGGATTTCTGTCATATTTAGTTAGTTATTATGTATTTTTGTGCATGTGACTGACTAACCCCTGTCGATAAAATCAATCCATGCGATTATTCCTCAGATAGTACCTTATTTCCCTCGATTTTTAATGAATGTAGAGAAACAGGATGAAAGTTATGACACCAAGTGATACAGAATATATCCTGAAAAACAGTAACTTAACCACATAGGTGAATCGACTCTATTATCAAGACTTATGCATAATTTTGCCATATGTCAGGTGATTCACAATTGAAAAGTCAGTGAAACCTCGGAAGTGAAGATTGACTTCCATACTATCATCACAGATGATATTCCTTATTGCGATGGATTATACCATGCGACAGGCTTAGGGGAGTGAGAAGACAGGAATACGTTGGATTGATCATAAGACTCTAGAAGATTTGGACTTCGCCGACGATTTATATCTAATGTCAAACAAACTCGAAGATCTACGGACGAAGACCGAAAAGTTGGCAGAAGAGGCAGTATCCAAATACAAGAATTCAAGTGAACATAGAGAAGAAAGGGGTGACGAAAAAAGTCGGTCATCACCGCCACCAACAAGTCATCTCTTTCACTTATCTAGACGGCATCCTTCCAACCACAGGCAACACAGATAGTGATATCAGTAGCAGCATCGAGATAACAATACAGACTTTTATTGCCCTGAAATCAGCATAGTAATCCTCTGAGCTTCGACATGAAGAACAATCTCCAGATTTTTAACATTAGTGTCAAATTAATTCTTCTATATATTTCAAAGACTTGGACTCTCGAAAAGCATTTTCAACATCTGTCTTGGCTCCATTCTCAAGCTCAGATTGCCAACCAGAAAGGTTTGGCCACAAAGAACTCTTGGAAAGAATTAATCAAGAACCTGTTGCCCCGAAAATAGGCTGAAGAAAATGAAGATGGACTGGATAGTTGCTGAGAAGACCACTGAGTGACATTGCACAATATACACCGGCCATCGAATGGAACCTGAACAGAAGAAGACAATTTAGCCATTCGTGGCTGATATGTAGGAGAATGTGTAAGGAGGAGCTGACAGCCAAAAACGAAATTATGATGTTAGCTAAGAAGAATTACATACAACAGGATGAAAATGTCTTGTTTGAAGCCCTCAGTTCTACTCGGGACCTAAGTGTATCGGTTAAGTAGGTTTTACTAATTTGAATTAAATAGTCATAAAATTAATGTGACCTCGGCATTAAATCGATAAAATGATTTGAAATTTGTGTATGTCTTTTAGTTGACAGTTCCGATGAACTTTTCTGTTAAAATTAACACAACAGGAAATTGTTATTCACCGATGAATAGTTTTTCAAACATAATTCTATAACTTGAAGTTACCACCCCCCCCTCCAAGGTCAGAGGAAGAGAAAAGCTCTTAAAGCTGTCCAGCACATTGATATTTGAACAAATGACCTTTTGGTTTTTGTTATTCTACGTCTTAGTATTATTATTGTTATTACTATAATTATATAAGTCGACAGAAGACTGAAAATAAGCAAAATTATCTTGTAACTAAGATAATTTTTAGAAAAAAGTGAAAAACAAACATCAAAATTATGTTTGTTTTTAGCTGTCAATTCAAAAAAGTGCAAAGATGTTTAAATATCACAGTGAATCCATTTATTTGTCATTGGATGTGTGGAAGTTAGTGCGTTGACTTGTCCGTATGTGTATGTGTGTGTTTGTGTGTGTGTGTTTGTTAGTTGGACAACATAGTGACATATGTAATTTTGTATAAATGAAACTAGTAATATTCTTAACACGATTCTTCATAAAAGAAAACATGAAATACTGGGTATCTTTCAATGTTAACCTTGACTTTAACTGTACTTATCAAGTGTCAGTTCTGTTGTGATGCATCGTATGTACTTCTGAATCATATAAGTAGTCAGATACCATATATACATATATCAAAACCATTACGTCATATAGGTAATTTAAGTGCTAGACAGCTGTTTCATGCCCTTAATAATAAGTTAATCATTATTGATTTAACACAATTGGCTAGCGGTTGCGTTATATTGTGAATTGGCAGAAGTTAGAATTCATGGGCTAGTCATTGGATCGGTCCCAGTGACTTAATGGTCTACGAGCTCGCCTTGTAACCAGAAGGTCCTGATTTCGATCCCTAGTGGAGTGTGTACTTCTGAAGAGTCACATACCAGGACGAAACGGCTGCCCATTACTTCTAGGTTTTCCAGTGGTTCTCTAACCGATATCAGCTCATGATGAAATCCTATAACCAATCAAATTCCTACAAACCAACACTTGAATAACAATTGAATCATTCGACCTATTCTGATTGATACAATTGGCTGGAAGTCATTCATATCGACTAGTACTAATTTCTAGTCGGAGCGAAGCGATCAGAATGTCTGATTGTTGGTTCATTGGTTTATGAATAAATCTTCTTCATTACCCTTACTACTAATATCAACAGGATTACAAGTGTCAAGTTTTCTAACAGACTGATGTCATTTCGTCCTCGTTTACGACTCGTTGTCAGTACACACCTTTAACAACCTACTGGGGATTGAACTGTTGTCGAAATATACTTTTTTTGTATTTCTAAACGAAGCCATGATGAATTTTCATTTCGAACTGTGTAATTTGAAAGTGATGAAGTTAGTTCTGTTCTGAAACTGACAGGATACTTTAGTTAATGAATCATTCTGTTTCAAATTAAGGCGAAATGTCTAGTTATTGTAATGATTGACAAGACTGGATCGTAAGTCAGTTGTACTATCCAGTTGTACGCAAAGAACAAACTGATGTATTCATGCGAAAACTTGTAAACTGACTTATATCTCCACTTTTTTTTTCCTTCACGTTCCCAGTGGGACATAGGGTTTCAAGCTAATGACTTGAAGTTTCTGTAGCAGTGTTTATTTTACACGATGGGGTTGTGTGATAATTATTTGTAATCGTAATATTAGTATTTCGAGATGACCGAATTACAAGAATCCAACCAAAACACAGAGAGTGCAGAACTCAGGAATTTGTATTTAGCGGAATTATTATGCAATTCATATAAGAAACATATTAACAATCAACAGTAAGTATTGAAACAATACAGAGATAGAAAATGTCAATCACCACAGGTTGCTAGCCTCATGTCCAACCTTTCCTCTTTAACAGCTTTATTACTGGGTTAGTGAGGTAAAGGAGTGAGTCGGCTAGCGTCCTAACCTCTGTGCCACCGACGCTATATCACAACTGGAATTCATTAATTTAAATGTACATATTTATAAGATTGAATGACACTATGCAATGGGTTGGAATAATTTGAAAATTATAGTCCGTTTCAGTGTATAAAGATTAAGATCCACGTTGACTTTTGTCAACAGCCACCTTTGTTCCATACAGAAGATTGGACAGTCAGCAAACAGAGAGCACTAGCAACAGTGAACTCTGCAACAAACCAACGAGGAATCTGTTTCCCGACAGATATGCTGAGGGAATTGAAAGTACATTGGAGATACACGGAAGATACAGCTGAATGACATCACGCAACATTTCCTCGAGAAGCACCCGAATGGGATTTGACAAATTGTGCGTCTGAGTGTGACACAGAGGAGATGAGAAAGCTTGTCAGTATTCGTGGAGCCAGTTAAAAAGGACTGCAGAGAAATGACCGAGGTGGAGATGTGCCTCTAAGCCTTGTGTTGCGCTCAGAATCCAAGGAAATTATAACAACTAATAATAATAAGATGCATGTTGCAAGGTTTGATAGTTCAAGACGAAACTACAAAATATTCTGAAATTAGGACAAGGCAGCTGTCAAATATACGTTGATTTTCCATTATTGTTTTTACTAGATGTCAATTTGTCACAAATTTTATACTAGCAACTGAGTCTATTCAAAGTAACACTTGTCAAACATAACAGAATCAGGTATAACTCAGGCTAAAACACAAATTAAACAAAACGTTTTATAAACCTGATTTATTTACTTTGCTTATTTTCTCCTTCTCCTATATTATGATGATGTCTTTCCATTATTGACGGTTACATTCCTTACACTTTTGTCTTCCGTTTTTCTACTTACAGTCTTAGTGGATGTTGAAATGAAAGAAGTCATAATTTAGATGAGCTACATACACAGAACACAAAAAAGTATTACTTTAAAACTTCTGTACTTGTTTCCTCTCTTGGTATAAATCAATTTTCTATAGTTTGATTTGTAAGGGTTACTTTTGTTTTTACGAGTTGATCACGGATGGATATCGGCTAGAAAACCATTGAAAACCAGCTGGGAGGACTGGACATCTGTTTCCTCAGCCTAGTTTGAGAATCATCATGGTATACGAGCTCTCCTTGTAATCTCCTTGTAGGCTGAGGAAACAGCAGCTGTCCAGTACTCCCTGGTTTTCAATGGTTCTCTAGCTAATATCAATTCGTGATCAACTCGTAAAAATAAATCACTTTGAATAATTTTAACAAAAACGGCAATAAAATATTGAACATTGAACAATTTTCAATTATTTGACTGCTTATCATTGCGCGCATATTAAACGCTATATAATAAATTGACGAAGCTTAGTAATCAGCAATTTCAATCAGTGTATAATATGTGACATACGATCATCTGGAAGAGAGAGAGAGAGAGAACCATAGTATAATACTGTACAGTGAATGTTGTGAAGAAGCTGATCTTTGCATGAGTTATATTTGGTACCTAGTTCAGCACTGAGTTGTATAATTGTTTCAATTTTATGCGCTTTATAAGTCGGCTTTTTTTCACAAGCCTACTGGTACAACTTTTTGATTGAATTTTGGTCGGTAGTTCTTACTTGATTACCTTTAAATATTTAACCATCTTGAAATATATGAATCATCCCCATTGTAGCACTGAGAACACGATATTCAGCGAGGAGACACTTTCCAGCTATTTTATTTATTATGAAGCTGTACAGTCCTACCGTATATATGTATAGATAATTTTTTCTAAAAGACTAATTCCCATGAGGAAGTCGAAAATAAAGGTGTAAATAATGATGACAATAATAACAATGTGAATTGGGACAAAAAAGTATTTTTTTATGATTATAATCATAGTTAAATATCAATTGATAAAGCAGGTTATGTAATATATGTATAAAATAATTCGTTAATGTATAGATCTTGGATAGGGCTGTGAAAACAATAGAATTATCAAGAGAATAAAGCATTACGTAATAGGGTGAAAAGGTAGATAAGGTAGAACTTAACATTGCAAAAGACATAATGAATCAAAATAATACAGGTGGATAAGTGAAATAATAACAGAAACTGTTCAAAATCACACTACTACTAATAATGATAATAGTTATAATAAGGCAAAGATACACAGATTAGTCAAATCGAATGAAAATAAGTAAATATATTATCAATTGTTGGTTTGTAGGGAATTGACTGACTACAGGCTTGATCACGGGTTGACATCACTTAGAGAAATATTCAATGAGTCGGTGGCATAGCAGTAGAATGCTAGTCAGCCATGCAGGTTTAATACCCGGCCTACGCAATCCCTAAACTCTCTAACCCAGTAATAAATAAGACTGATAAAGAGGGAAGGCTGGGCATGACGCTAGCAGTCCCATCCCGTGAAAATAATCACCACTTCTAGCCTCTAGCTTGAAGCCCTGTGTTCCATTCGGAACGTAAGGGAATAAAAAAATAGAATCATTGGAAACTAGGGAGTATTAGACATATAACTCATCAGCCTAGTTGGGGATTTGTCAGCATTGCACATCCACCGGAGTTTGAACCCGAGACAAATGCTGGTTAGTCAAATTGGTTGGTTGTCACGCTATATCGTGAATTGTCAGAAGTCGGAATTCATGGGCCATTGGATCGGGTCACAATGGCCTAGTGGTCTACGGGATCGCCTGGTAACCGGGAGGCCCTTGGTTCGAACCCCGGTGGGTGCGTACTAGTGAAACGTCTCAAATTAGGCTGACGAAACAGGTGTTCAGTATTCCCTGCAGGTTTTCCAGTGATTCTCTAACCGATTTCAGCTCATGATAAATTACTGCTGATTATAAGACAAGCTGAGAACTCAGGCAGATTCTCTGTTTCTTTGAATATCTCTTTAACAAGTGATTTGAAGAACTTATCGGGAAATAATTGATATCAAGATATTTAATCGGGTTCTCTACCCTTGTTCCATCAGTAATCTATGCAAACGATTCAAAAATACAATCCAAAAATAGCTCAGAGATAATCGATTTGACTATGACGTGTACCCTGTTCCCTCCCACGCCAATGAATACGTGGACAAATATATCAGTAGCTTTTGCATATCGAAGAGATCCTGTGAGGAGGAAATGAAAGCTTGTAGGCAGACGTGGAGCCAACTAAAGGAGACTGTAGTGACCTGAATGAAATGGAAACTTACTGCTAAAGCCCTATGTCTCACTCTGAACCCAAAGGAGAAAAATATACAAGTGTATTATGTCTAGCTTTCGATTGTGCCTAATACTTCGTATTTAAAAAAGGACTTTTATACATTAATATCACTTCCGTCTTTCATTTTCTTTTAGAACAACATTCTCCGTCCAACAGCTGTCAATATTAGAAGCAGCCTTCGATAACTGTCCATATCCTGATGCTGTTACACGTGAAGATATCGCCTCAAAGTTATCATTGAGTGAATCACGTGTACAAGTATGGTTTCAGAATCGTAGAGCTAAATGGCGTAAACAAGAAGGTAGTCAATTATTAACAAATGGTACAAATTCTAGCAATACAACAATAACGACAACTAATAATAATAATAACAGTAGTAATTGTAGTATAATTAACTCCACAGTCTCCACATCTACACCATCCACTTGTACATCTACATCAAATATATTAACAGGTGATAATGACGAGGACGATTATCGTATAAGTTCAAATTTGCTAGAACCACCATTTTTAACTGGTCGTAAAAGAAGTTCAATCTCTAGCATGAATCATTTCAATCATCAAAAAAGTATTCATAATCAAAATAATAATAATAATTTAAAACAAAATAATTCTTCATATGAAAATAATACAGAATTAATGGATTCATTATCACCGTCACGTTTAAATTTATCATTTATTGTAAATGATTTAGCTAATTATCACCAAAAAATGTCAAATTTTCCATTATTTAATGAAAATTCAAACTCACTACAACCTGCCTCTTCGCACAATGACCTTGACAAGTGTTCTAGTAAAACAACACTGTTGAATTCAAGTCTATTGAATACCTCGCCTACAGATTTAATAAATTCACATTTATTAGATAAATCATTAAAGAATATATCAAATAGTTTCTATTCCACTCCTAATTCTAAGATCAATTCATCTGTATATAATAATTTATCAGGTAAAAAGTCAACACCCCCTAATTGTAAACAACGTAGACATAATGATGAATTCATTACACGTGAAAAGAGGAATGAATACACTCCAGAGCATGATCAAGATCATAGCAATAATGACCATAATCCTGATAATGATTATATCGACTGTAATGATATCAGTATGAATACAAGCAATGATTCTCTTAGTGAAGATAGAGGGATAAAATCTAAAAATTTACCATTTTCTGTTTTATCTCTAACAGCTAATCATGCAAATAATAATGTAGCGCATCAAAATCAGATGAATACTTTCAATATTAGTGAACAGTTGAGTAAATTACAATCAATACAAGCCTCTATGAAAACGCTTAACAATAATAATTATGAAAATCAAGGATTCCCTTCTTTATTATCGTCATCAACATCAATGAGTGAAATGAATACAAATTATAACAATAATCATGATGGAACAACACCTTCACTATCGAATATAACTGATTTTGCTGAATTTATGAATTCCTTGTTGAAAGCTAAAATCAATCATCTTAAAACTAATCAATCTTCATTATTAGATTGTAATGAAATGAAAATATTGAATGATATGTTCACTAATGGAAGTATGAATAGAACTGATGATTGTATTCAAAAGGATGCTAATAGTAGTAGTAGTAGTAGCCCGACTGCTTTGAATATTACAACAACAACAACAACTAGTACTACTACTGAAACTACAATTACACCGAAATCAGTTGCCAATAATACTACTGATATGATTAATAGTAGTAATGGCAATAACAATAATAATAATACTAATAGCAATGATAACACAATTAATAATACAATTTTAGAGAATTTAATCGCCTGTGCACAACTCCCTCTAAATTTACACTTAAATGGAACAAATTCGAATTTGAATAATCATAGATTAGATTTTAAAATGGATTTATCTACAGAAAAACAAATGAGTAAGTGTTTTTGTTTATTGGCTGTATTGAATTTTTCTCTGTCTCCATTCCTTTGAGTTCTAACTGGAATATGAGGCTTCAAGCTTTGAAGTTTCAGTAGCGACGGTGTTGTTTTCACGGAGTGTGGTTATGGTTGTCAGCCTCATGCTTAACCTTCTTTCTTTTCTGGGCTTACTACTGGGTAGACAAGGTTTCATGATGCGTCGAGATGGAAGATATCATTAGCGTAGACGAGCTAATTTCAGTTTATTGCTTTTAAACTTTATATATACCCATGGAGGAAAGTTAAGGGGGGGTGGTCGTATGCAAGCTGAAGAAGTCTTAACAGGGACATGAAAAGGACAGTTTGCGATTGTTGTGGTGTACACCCCATTGTGTTAGTGATACATCTGAATACTTGTAGAACTCAGTGAAAGCTGTTGAGACGAATCGATTGTGAAGAAGAAAACATCCATAATACAGAATGACTGGTAATGGAGTCAATGTAAACGTCATCACATAACATGCCGGTTGTAGATCCCTGTCAGTAAATTAAGTCACGCTTGTACTACTACTACTACTTTTTTTATTGCAGCTTGATTCCACACTGTATTTTTTTGGTACAAGTATGGAATTTTCAGCATGGATATCGTTAACCCAAATTTTGAATGCCAACCATAGATATCAGGTGTGCGTCGGCAGGGGATCGAACTTTGGACCACATGCATAGGCAGTGAGAGTCCTAACCACTGTGCCACCAACGCCACTACTACGGTAATGGGAGAAGATAAGATAATTGTAAACGGACTTTTTTTTGTTAAAAATCAACATAATATTTATCCATTTTTAATCCCATTTAATGTGGGCTAGGCCAGAGGACTGTAAACTGGCTGGCAATCGCCCCAGGGTTAAACAATAAGACGAAAAGTCGTCTAATGAGATTATTTCCTGACCACAACGTAAACTAAATCCAGATTCGAGGAGTGAATACTTCTATTCATTATTACTATTATTATTTCCTTAGCTTCTGAATAGAACATAGATCTTCAATAGAATTTTGTTCTCTGTAGTATTGTTTTAACTGGTTCCACGATTGCTCATGAACTTTCATTCCTTTCTCAGACAGTCACTGTTATGTCACCCTAGAACCAAAGTCTAACTCGTCGATGCCCATTCAGATACCACTCTTGGATCTGGTGATTGTGTGATTTCACTCAATGGTCTCCTCAACGTGTGCCTAATCCATTGACTTCTATGTTTTTAGTCAATACGGAAACTGCTTTTAAGGTGTAAGACTTGGAAATTGTTATGTAATGACAATGATAATTATGAATATGTTCACTAAAACCGAAACTGTCCCACTGATGACATTAGCTAGTGGTCACACTAAAATCACGAAATGGTAGAAGTTAGAATGCATGAACTGGCTATTGAATCGGTTGGAGTCCCAGTGGCTGAATGATATACGAGTTCGCCTTATAACCGGGAGTTCCTAGGTTTGAACGCCAGGCGGTGTCTACTAGGATGAAACAGCTGTCCAGTACTCTAGTGCTGATGTTCAGTGGTTCTCTAACTCATATCAATCCGTGACCAACTCGAAAAGAGCAAATCTAATCCTTACAAACCGAAGTGTTTTATTTACTTCAATAGTAAATAAATACGGGTACACTATATATGGGAATAAAATAAAATGAGATAAGAATCACTACAGATAAAATTATTCACTGCGTCTCTCTCTCTCTCTCTCGTTATCTATCAACTTTATTATAATAAATAATGATTGACATAAATTATTAAGTTGTAAAATTAAAGAATTAAAAGGAGAAAAAGTTCTTTTTTCCATTCGTTATACATTAACACACACATACACATACACACAAACACACTAGTATGCACTTACATATGTATGTATTCTTCTTAAGCATACACACATACATACACGAGAAGGATATTTTAGGGGGCATATTACAAATTCACAGACGAGATTACAGATAAGGAGTACACAAAGACAGAATAAAGAAAGGATGATCCAATAGAAGAAGATAATGGGGTGATGACGACAAAGGAGAAAATGGAGGAATAGAAGAAATATTAATAATAATAATAATAATAATGATAATGAGGACAGGAAATTAACCATCACATTACCAACAACAACAACAACAACGGACGAGGCAATCACATTCATTCATTTATCTACTTATCTATCTACCTATCTATCTCTTCAATTAGACACATTTTAAAGAAGGCGAGGGAGAGAGATGGATTATTGTAATCTGATGGAAGCAATTTCACTCACTAACTCACCCATCCACCCACTTATTCATATACATCAATTAATTAACTAATTAATTAACGAGTTAATTAACGAATTAATTGATTAATTAGTTAATTAATTCAATCAATTTTTCTTTCTTACTCACATTAACAAATTAGGGTATAATAATAATTATTAGTATTATTATAAGAAGACTAATAGTTTATCTATCTAAATCAATCCATCTATTCAAACAGAGTATTTCTTTGTCTAGGCATTAATGTGTGTTCATTTGTCTTAATGTTGTATTTAATGTGTATTCTATTCTGTCTGTGAGTTAATACACACACACATATGTGTGTGTGTGTATGTGAGGAACTGATCAAAAGCAAATATAAACAGACAGAATAAAGGAAGTTGTTGGATAATGAAAAGATAGGCAAAGAAAGACGGAAAGAAACAGTGTAAAGAGGATAGGGGAAAAAAGGAAAACAAAGCGAGTAATTATGACACATGCTAGTTAATAAAGCACAGGCACAGGCACACACACACACATACAAACACGCACAGACACAAAGGAAATGCTAATTAGAATAGAACATCTCTTGTAGTGAATGGTAATTTGTTTATCTTTTTTGTTGACTGTGTTTAAAATATGTTTGTTTACAATGTCTACGTAATGTGTTAACTAATCAACTCACTAACTAACTAACCACCTAACTTCCTAACACTTTGGATGGAATTCCAGGCTAGACAGGCAGACTCATTCATCAGTGTGATGATGATGATGTAGAAATACTTTAATTACAAACTATCAATCATTGGGGTGGGAGTGGGTTTTGGGGGAATCTCAAAGCTGTCAAATTTACCAATTCAGTCACATAATCTTATCGATAGTTAGTTAAATTTTGCAATTCAATATTAGGGGCATTGATAAACTGCCTGCAAACTTTCGATTCATCCTTACACATGATACTGAGCATGTCACTTTCGGACCTACATCAAGGTTCTTCTCTTTCTATTCGAGAGTTACTCCACGTCTCTTCAGTGTATGTTCAATCCATCTCAATTTCAATCTGCATATTTGTTAGTTGGTTCGATAAACTGACAGAGTTTTTTTTTATCGTTGCTCATCCTTTCTGACCAACTTTCCAATCTTCCCTACTGAGATAATAAAAGTTTACGGTAGTTTGTTGCAAATGTGTTGATGACTCACACATGAAGTCTCTAAAATATGTAGGAGTATTGAGTAACTTGATGTTAATGATACAAATTAGGGTTGTATTCTTTGTGCTGTTGTTTGCTATAGATCTCCTGACCAACTTTAGAGTAATGGACGCGAAGTAAATCTCCAAACTGTTTATTTGAATTTTAGATTTTCTCCTCGATTGATTGGACCAAAGTGCTCGGTGTCAGGTTGACATGTCGGCTTCTTGTGTAGATGCTTCGACAATGTCTGGGTATTTAATTAGAATTTAATTTGTGGATGCTGACTAGCAATGGAATCCAGGATGCGCATTTTGTCCTATTCGGGACTCGTCATCTGGATGTGCATGCATTCCCTAGGTTCGAATCCTGGCAGCGACATCCTGCTTGGTACATCCAGATGACGAGTCTCAAATAGGACGAAATGCGAGTTATCCTGGATTCCACTGCTAGTCACCATCCACAGATTGAATCTCCAAATTGTTTATTCATGGGGATATTTGGATTTCAGTGGCCTATGATATTTAACTTCTGTCTATTAGGAGTACAACCTGAATGCATGCCAAATATACTAAATTATGTGATAGTGAATTATCGGATCATTTTCAGATTCGGAGGTGTTTTTTTTTTTGAAATATTATGAAGATACACCTTATAACTTATTTTTAATTTATTTTTTATCAGCTGATATCTCATATGAAGACTCCTGAATCAATGACTATTAATAATACTGCCCATGGTTTGAGATTATTTCTCTTAAGTGAGATTTGATTTAGTCAGTTTGACATCAGTTTTGCAAGTATTAGATTGCTGACTAGAATATTACACTAATCCCACATAGTTATGGCTAATATTGTGGTAAAATAAGCTAAAAATGGTTGCTCAATTCTGATTTAAGTTTCCTTAATTTCAATTCGCCAGTATAGTTACAGGATTTCATCATGAGCTGACATTGGTTAGAGAATCACTGGAAAACCTGCAGGGAGTACTGGACAACTGTTTTCTCAGTCTAGTTTGGGACTCTTGATCAGTACACACGCCCCACAGGGATTTCGAACCCACGACCTTCTGGTTACAAGGCGAGCTAGCTCGTAGACCATTCACTCACCGGAACCCGATGCAATGGTCAGTCCATGAATTCCAACTTCTGCTGATTCACGACATAGCGTGATCACTAGCGAATGTTATCGGCGGTGAGTATTTGTCCTCACATCCAACCAGCTGCACCCTACTGGTCGCTTGTTCTCTAACCAATGTCAGCTGATGATGAAATCTTGTAATCAATCAAATCCCTACAAATCAACACTTGAATCATCAGTATAGTCTTCTTATAACTATGTCGGTATGGAAGTCTCATGCTCATTCCTTATAAGTGTTACAAGAAGTTCTGATGAGGAATCGTGATCTACCAAGTTAGTATCCAAAGAAGGTTACATACTGATAAGACTGAATGACAACGGCATTGCGTTGAGAATTAGCAAAAGTTAGCCATCGATCCCGGTATTTATTAGTTCTAATATCTGTGTGAGACAAGGTTATCATGGTTTTTGATTCAATA